GGAATTAAGCTCATTAATCATATCTAATTACTAACAATTATTTCAGCTTAAGCATATAGCTATGCATGATTATGCCTAATTGAAATGAAGAGATAGAGAATATACTTCACATCCAGTTGCATCGGAGAGGCTATTGATTCTGATTAACGGAGTGTTGCCAATGGCGGCGACGAGTCCAGTTCTACGTCTTTGAAGTTTCTTTTTCCGGGGAGACTTATGCTGAGTCGTTTTGCAGAGGAAATAAGAGACTATGGCTATGGAGAGCAGTGTGGCGACGGCGCCTGCAGTTCTCACCGGCGCCATCGCGGAGGTTCTCCGGCGGAATCCGGTCTAATTGAACCGGAAGTATTATGGGCGATGAAAGGGTGAAGGCAGGTTATGAATATTTCGATCAATTGCAAATTAGACCACCTAAGTTTCTTTTTCTTCTCTTTTTACCATTCCACTTTGATGGCAAAGTCATTTTTATAGTATTGTAGCTCAATTAATGGTAAATAATTTTTTCTTTGATTGTTGTTAAGAAACATAATCATTTAAAGTTAACTTGAGGAAAATGATTATTTGAATTCTTGGTGATCCATTGGAATTTATGAATAATTTGTTTTAAAGTTATAGTAATATAGTTTGTACTAAAGAAGTTATAATAATTTGACAAGAATTATAATAAGATCACTCATTGAATTCCTGATGATCTATCAAGATTTTGTGTACTAATCCTAATGATCAACCATGAGTAATGGTAATGCAAGTCTTTTGGTGTTTCACTTGAAATTAAGCTTCGTACTTGTTATTTTGAGGTTATTCTCACATAATTTTTTAGAACGAGTTAAAAGTTATATAAAGACGTAGAATAATTCTATTTGTAAAAATCTTACTCAATATAATGATGCTTGTCAAAGATCCAGAGAAGTGTTGTGGATGAGCCCAACCCATTGGCAATATGGGCTTTGTCAATAATGAATAGTATTTGAAAGAAGTTAGGATTGACATTTGAGTATTTTTTTCGAGCCCAACTAATCCAAATTCACATCAGAGAGAATTCATTAAAAAATAACGATTTTTCATATTGAAAACTCGAATTTGAGTGTTTTCTCTAAGTACTCACAAATTCTTATTACACAATGAAAAGTTACAATGTAAAAGGGATTGAATAAAATGTCAACTAAAGTTGATTGCATTATAACTTTCCATGATCGAATATACAACTTTCCGTACGGAAGTAATTTCATTTCAACAACAATAAGAATAAAAGGTGAAGAGTTATTTGGAATTTTTCTTTAGGTTCGTATATTTAAAAGCAGATTCGTGATAAGAAATATATTATTCTCTTTGCACTAAGATTGATTGTCAAATAATTTTTATATAACATTCAATATTTATTTCCTTTAATGACTCTTATGTAACGTGAATTCAAATCAATCGAGTAGTAAAAAAATGAAAAAGGAGATTGAAATATGATTATTCCCATAAGGAATAACTTTATGTAATAGATTATACCAATCAGGTGCTGCTAGATCTGATTGTATTAAAAAATAAAAATAAAATTGATGAGTGCCCAAAAGTGCTACAAGACATTTAAAAAGGCCGACAAAATCAGTGATAGGACAAGTCCGTTAATAAGCTGATGCGTGTAAGTTACCATCTTGCCCTTGGCGTAAACAAGTTCTAAACTATTTATGTGGTTGGTATTTGATAAAGTATTGGTCATTTGACGAGAGAGAGTTGTTCGGATGGTAAACACCCCTCACTTTCAACCCGAAGGTTGCGAGTTCGAGTCACCAAGAGAGCAAAAGGGGTGGGAGCATATACGTATATTTAAGAACATATACGTTCAGAAGATGAAAATAATAGAAATGATAATGTTGGATTGGATGTATGGATAGTGGATAAGAGAATGTAAAAGTAATCTTGACTAACAAGATAAAAAAAAGCAAAGTTGAGATAAATCAGCTATATATATAAGAGTTGTTAGGAGAAACAAGGGTAGACCAAAAAAATTCAAAAGGGAGGGAAGACCTTAATAAGGACATGATTCATGAATTTGACAGTATAAAGGTTAATGATTACGATAGAAAAGTAATAGATAGTCGAGTGTTGTAGTACTGTTATATGAAAGAGACTATTTATGCAGAGTATCGTATTCTTCGATTTTTACTACTACAAATTACTTCTTTACTTTGTTCATTTTTACTATTTTGATATCATTTATTTTTTCTTTCAATCCTACTTTAATTAAATTTCTTTTGAACTTTATCTGATTAGTTGTAGTCTTGATTATTAAAATCTGGACAAAAAAAAACTAAACAATAGTTGAAATTTATAGTAACTTAATTGTAAAATTACTTTGGACAAATTTAAACATAATTTCATTCTTCCAATGATAATTCGCACATCATATTATAAAAGAAAGACCCGTAAGTAGATTGGACTCCAAAGTGGCCATCTAGTCAGCTTAAGGTAACTTTTCTATGGTTAGTAAGATTTTTTTTTTTTTTATGGTACATCATTAAATCACCCAAATAATATTTACAGCACGTCTATGCAACGTTCAAATTCATATCATCTAATACTATAATTTTACCCCTATCCTAAATATAAAACTTTTCAACGAGAATATAAATTATTCAAACTTCAATATGTCACTCAAACTCAATAAAGTGTGTATCAAATACCGAATAAAATAAAATAAAATATAGGATCTGTATAATTATTCCATTGAAATAAAAAAAACTTTTTACGGCAGAGAATCTTTGCAGAGAGAGCATAAACCACTCCATTTCTCAGTCTTCTTTATCTCTCTTCTTCTCTACAAAAAGGCCCAAAATACTTCATCACTTCGAACTCTTCCGCCATGGAAATCCAAAAATTGCTTCTCAAATTCAAATTCCACATCTTAATTGCATCTACTTTTTCGATTTTCATCTTCGCTCTCATTTACCTCGCACCTCGATTTCTCGATGTTGTTAAGTATTTTTGGCCTCTGTTACTCTCTACTGCTCTCTTCCTAGTCGCCGTCGTTCTCTTTGGATGGATTTCTCCGCCGGTATCTGAGGTTTCCGGTGAGAAAACCGGTGAAGGTATTTTGGAATTCGTAGCGGGTCAACCCGAACAATTACAAACGCATCTACATGATTTACATGAACATGAAGGAGACGGAGAAGATGAAGAAGGTGAAAGTAGCAAAGTAGAGTGAAGTGAAATTAATCGTTATTTCTGCTCTTTTTACTTTTTTTTTTTTTTTTTAATTAGATACTTTTTTTTTCTATCTGTTTTTTTTTTCTTTTTAAATTTTTGTATATTTCCAGAATAATGTTAACTTGCATTATTGGCCTGCAGCTTACTTTTGGGACCCTTTCTTTTGATCATGAAGTCGGAATTTTACATTATTGAATTCTAAATTAATTTAGATGCCTATAAAATGTAGATCAAACTTATTCGGTTGGCCGAACACACTATCCCCCCCTACTTTACAAAAAACAAGGAAAAATAGGACGGAGAAGAGTATTGATTACAAAAAACAAGAAAAATAGGACAGAGAAGAGTATTGATCAATAATAATAATAATGTCTTCGATATAATTAAATAAATGAGATCTAAAAAGAATATGTAATATATTAATCAACTTTTAAATATCTTAATATTGAACTAGTTTGGGAACAAAACTCTGTTTTTACTACTTCACCACCTAAATAGAATACAATTATCAACATTATTATTAAATTGGCCACTTCCTGCACAACATTGGTAAACTCTCCTCTATGTACCATTATCCGTTTCAATTGATATGACACTAACTCTTTTTTTCCCTTCAATCCTATAACATTTAAATTCAAAATCAATGTTTCGACCCGAACTCTATACATAGCGAAAATTTAGTTGAGAATTGTTGACCTGAAACAATATTTTAATAAACACTTTTTTTTTTTACCTGAACAACCTTTTTATTGATCCTATGTAACAAATCACAATTTTTAGGGGAAAAATAAAAATAAAGATAAGGGAAAACAACAATATTAGCAATATGGTTGGATTCCTAGAGTGAATTACTGACCACCGACCATAACGTTTGGTCCTCTCGAAGACAATTAGTGGGTTCACCAAATTTGTCTTCATACTAGGCACCTAACGGTACTAATTTATCACTTGCTCTTTGCTAAGTTTTCAAGGAAAAAAAAATCATGGGTATATTATTTATATTTTGCACATCTACCCATTTCTGAACAAATTTAGATACATTTTTTTTTTTTAATAATCTAGTAATATTTTTGTCTATGCTAAGATTAGAATCCAAAATCTCATGGTTCCAACTCATTTATTAGTCACTATAATATGATTGAAGTTCTAACATTACCCCCCTAAAATTTAGGCATAAAATGTTGAACTTTAATAGTACATGCATAAACTTTAGATAAAAATAGTCATATAAAATTTATCTGAAACTAAACAATTTAGAAATGGTTCGAAATAGATAAAACCTATAAAAATTTATAAATGTAAGGCATAACTTGAATGATAACACCATCGTTTGGTAGGATGTATAAGAATAGAGATAACACCATCGTTCGGTAGGATGTATAAGAATAGAGCTGAATATAGTGTATTAATAATGTTTAAATTAATTATGCTAAAAATAACATGCACGGTATAGTTTCTAAAAAAAAATATTCGTTTACAAAGATAAAAATATAGTGAAAAGGATGTGAAAAAAGTTTTAAAGGGCAATTGTGCCTTTAATTATGCTAATGCATGTAATAAAAACTTTTGCATTACTAACACTATGTATTCTCATGTGTTAGTTATACATACTTTGATACCAAATAAAGTGGCATAACTAATGCAAACATTAATACATAGCTTGAAAAGTGTATCAAATAAAATACTAATAATACACAAAGTTAATGCATGCATTATTTTTTTAATACACTCTATCAACCGAGCCTAAGGGATTCCATTTAAAATGGGTTTGGGCCACAATCACACTTATTAGGATATGGACTATAGGTCCATAAATTAACCCTTGTTTAAAATTTCTATTGGCCATCATAATCTTTCAACCAATGCTTGTCGGACTAGGGTCCACAATGATACACTTTCGGCCTCCCTAAAATTCCCTATCACAATATAGTGAAGATTGATTGAGAATTTTGAGTGAAACGAATAATGGGATTTCACAAGTAACCAAACCAATTCCTATCATTTCACACCAAAATTGGTATATTTTCTGAGTGTTTGGAGTGGATGACCCATCAATACTTAATGAGATTATGGTAGGATAAATAAGATCCATTAACCCGAAATTAGAGGTTTTAAATTCATACACTAAGTGTCGTTTGGTAGTTGATATGAGTTATGCAGGTATAAGCAATATAGAGGGCAGTTATGAGGGAATCAATGTAATATTTTATGTAGATATTAGTTATTCAACCTTGTATCATCCATAAAATAATACATAAAAATTCTCCAAACTCATACATGTATTATTGTATATTTGTATTCAACACTATTCTTATACATCCTACCAAATGACCTCTAAGTGACAAGTGGTTGCTCAGTTGGACTGTCTACCTTCAACATTAAGGTTATAGGTTCGAGATTTCAAGTCACCAAGGGAGAGAAAAGTTGGGAAACTCCTAGGGAGGGGTAAATAAATAAATAAAAAGAATTCCAGCATTAAGAATGGAAAAAATTCTTGGTATAGAGAGTATCTTTCTTAAATGAGCCCAACCAGAATCTAGATTAGTCGAGTTAGTTTTGATGGTGAACAAAATGAGGAATGGTAACATCTGGAATTGGGTAGATTCTTTTGTTTGGGATTTCCAAAGTAAGCAAACCATTCCATATCATTTCACACGGGAAATGGTCAATTTTGAGTGTTCAAAGTAGATGGACAAACAAATGCTTATCCCAAAGAGATTGCAATAGGATAGATATCCATCACCTTTAATCACAAGTCTTGGATTTAAACACTAAGAATGAAAAAAATTCCTGGTAGAGAGAGTTTCCCTCTTAAATGGGCCCAAAGAGACACGAATCTGGATAAGTCATGTTGGTTTGAAAGGCTAGATGGTTAAAAGAAACACGGAATGTTTACATCTCGAGTTGGAAAACTCGGGATCAATAATTGTACTGTAGAACTCAGATACCTATCACATTCCTTGACAGGGGAAGAACCGAAGAAGTTTGCTAACTTTTTACAAACAAAAGTACAAGTAATTTACATGTTTACACAGGGAGTTGAGAAGACTACATGGAGATTCTGGGAAGTGTAAATTTCACCTAATACTAAACTGAGTGCGATTTACTGCATAACTTGTGTCAAAAACTCAAAAAAATATGAACGTTTTCTAATATGCTACTGATACACTAGAAGTTGCAAAAGGACTCATAGTCATATGTGGAAAAGGTTGCTTGATATAATAATATAGGTTTTAGAGCAATCACCTCCCGGTTCAAGATGATTGGGCGAGTGTCAGATCTGTGGTTGACAAAGTTCCAGACTGATCAATGTCAAGACTTTCAAATTCCTTCAATACAGCTGCGACGTCGTGTTGGTTGATCTTCCCCATCTCCTTAAGTTTATAGATAACAAATTCAGCAGCCCTTTGCAATTGACAAAAACAAAAGGAGACCAGAATTAGAGTTTGTAATATGCTTTGAGATTTACAATGAGAAAAAGAATAATACATGCTAGAATCAAAAGCTAAGACAGTGGTGTAATGACACTAACAAAAACAATATAGAGTCGATATTTAAATGGTTCCGTTAATTTGACATGTGTCGACAAGCATGAGTGCAGTTTACAACACCAACGTGAACAAGGTGAGAGTACAAAACTAGAGTAAATACTCGAATTAAGTGGATCAAGAAGGGTCTTTGCAATCTAATTATAGGTGCATGCTTTAAAGTTAAATGAACTTACCCTACAACCCCATCATCATCAAGATCAGCTTCCTCCAAATCCACATTTGTTGTCCTTCTTGAAAGAACCCATTTCACAATCTCCTTCTGTCTCTTTTCCGTGTTCCATTCAGCAACATAAAGGAAGAATCGACCCAAACAAAGAGTGCTTGTCAAAATCCAAAATATAGAAAAAATGCGCCCTGCTTTGGTTGAAAAGCTTTTGTCTCCATATCCTAATGTTGTGATGGTAGCACAGACACAATAAAAGGCGTCTACAGTATCAAACTTTTCAACTCTAGTCAAGACGACTGTCCCAATGATTATGAGCATTATAAGGAAGGCCGCTACCATGAAACACTTGTACCTTACTTTGTTTGTTTCAATCTCCTCTAAAATTTCACTCGGACCAACTCTACAACCCATATGCAGTGCTTTAATTAATAGTGTTTCTTGCTTCTCCACTAAGTAGTCTGCTGCTTTGCTTAGAACCAGTCCAACAAGTGCCATCCCAGAGAACACAAAGACACAGGCAAGCAGTTTAGTAGTTGCACTGTTAGGAACCAAATCACCATATCCAACCGTGGTCATTGTCACAACACAAAAGTAAAGGGAATCAAGTACGCCATCTATTTTCTTTCCCTTGATCTTGCTTCTAACAAAATAAAAGCAAATGGTACCAATACCCAAGTATATAATCAAGTAAACAATAACTTTCCTAATACTAGGGTGGAGTTTGTCCAAAATCAATTTAGAACGTAGAAGTGATTGGTCGTTCTTTATTTCATTAATTTCCACCGGAGCAATTTCGCCCACAGGAGTACTTTTAGATCGGCGAAATCTTTTTCTCCCAAGACCAACCGTATGATGGGTTTGATGCAGTTGATCCAACAAGGGCTGGGTTGTTCCCCTATTAGTCATCCAGGAAGCCTCGAGAAGTCCTGCAAGAAATTGTGGCTGCTTAAGAAAAGTCCTTTAATTTAGTAAATCATAATGATTTCCCTCAGCCAGAGAGACTAGTCTTCGAATACCAAAACACTAACAAAAACAGTTTTTCTTCATGATTATCATATGCAAATAGTACCTTGACTGTCAATTATTAGTTCTTATACTATGATACTTCTAGAACCTTAATGCGTGCCACATGCAATAGCACCAAGTAAAGAACTTTCTAGGATAAGTCCATCGCAGCCGGCTTAACAATCAATAGGAGTATTTTGACATGGGTTTATACTCATTGATGAATAGAGTTCCAGTTCAATGACGATAAATCTTTGGGTTGCTGTTACTGAGAGAATCCATTTAACCTAGCCGGCTAGCTCACATAAAAAGGCGCATGTTACCACTAATTTCTCATGATGATTGAGAAAGCTCTGGCCAGTAAGAACACAAGCATGGAACTTGATCAGTCTCTCTTAAAACTCATTGAGAGACAGAAAATCAGATGCATCCAGACACCTAAAGTTCGCACTGACGACAAAAAATTAGATATCTAATCCAAGCGGTCACTGTAAAGTTGGACTCATCCTGTTTTTAGCTGAGACATCCTAACACATTTCATTATGTTGTTAACTTGTCAAGTAACTAAAATCAAGCGTTTCTCTGGCAATATTAGTTTTCTTCTATGTGATGCTCGTGACGGAGTTTGTTTTCTTTATAACTCTCATCCCTTATACTATACTGTGTCAGTGACATACTAATCATATCTGTGAAATGATTAGTGGCCCTGCACTCCGAGAATCAAAAGGTCTAGTTTCCAATTCCAGAGTAAGAGAAATAGTAACATATATGTCCTTGATTGACAAACTTGTTCTGGCAATTACACCCAATAATTATGAACTGTAACGAATCTAAATATTTTTCTTCAGCATCTCTTAAAGTTAGTCAAATACTCTGCATGAGACTTAAACAGAAAACAATCTATAAAATCCTACAGTCACAGGCTCACAGACAATCAGTTTCCTGAAAAATACATTATTCTACTAAGTGATAGCATTTTAACTGGTTTGGTAAAGATCTAAACATCCCACACATACATCCTTCCTTTATCTGGCAACTTAAGTAAAGGATTTTTAACTGAAACCAAGAAGATACAAATGTTCTCACAAATTCACCTATGCTTGGTATAATGGAATGTAACACGCATCGAATGAGAAACAACTACATCTCACAACCTATGCTAATAGAAGGTAGCAAGTACCTCGTAGAATTAACCAAGGTGTGTGCAAGCTGGCCTATACACTACGGTTATCACAAAAGGAAAAAAGAGACATAAAAGAAAGATAAAGTAGTTTTTCTCAGCAAAATTACTAATCCAGCCAAACCAAATTGCTAAATGAATAACAAAATTCAAACACTGGTGACTAGAGGTTGAATAGACTAACTTACCAAACAGAACACAAATTCACTCTTAACTCCCCATCTCTACCACTATATCTCAACAACAACAATATACCCAGTCTAGTCCCACAAAGTTGGGTCTAAGGAGAGTAGATACACAGATCTTATCCTTACCTCGTAAGTCGTAGGTATCACTGTTTTCGATAGACCATCAGCTCAACGAAAAACAGTCCAAAGCAGTTAAGAAAAGGAATAAACGAAAGTGAAAGCATAACAAAACATTCTGAACAATAACTACAGAACAACAAACAATAAATAGTAATAGAAATCGAAGTACAAGAAACTACCAGAAATACTGACGGCTATATCTCAAATTCCCTCAATTTTTTTTGTTTGTATGAATTCTGTCATAGCTAAATTTTAACTAACAGACTCGCGTTAAACTGGAAATAACACCTTACGAGTTATGATACACATAACCTCACAACAACACATGAGCAGAATTTCCCAGCTGATTCACTAAAATCGCAATTTAATAGCTTCTTAGAAAAATTCAGCGAGCATGCATTCATAGCTTTACCTTCAAAGAAGGAGCAAGTTCACAAAAATAAATGAAATAGTAATCAGAATTATCATAAAAAATCAAATGTTTGATCCTTACCTAAACCTGATTTCTGTAAGGAAATTGCTGGAAAGAGCTCCAATCTTCTTTGACACCAATTGGAGCTTTAACTTGCAGGCGTCCCCTTCTTCAGTTTCTTCCGATCAATTGCGATCACGTTCATCTTCTTCACTCCCTTTATAAGAGCTGTCGTCTTTTTTTTTTTTTTTTTTTTTTTACCGTGGTTTCCGGGCATCGCTTTGCGAACCCGACTAGCTATACCCACCGGGTCCCGCTGTTTCAAGGCGGGTCCACCACGGTTAGTTCCACGGGGCCCTGGAGACACGGCCGGTTTGTAATGCCTCCAGTGGCCCTGCTGGGGCTCGAACCGGCGACCTGAAGGACTTTGTCCCAGGCCTTTACCAGCTGAGCTACCCCTCAGGGTTATAAGAGCTGTCGTCATTTGGCTTTTCCCTCGTTCTTTTTTTTTTTTCATTCGGTGAGGAGAAAATTAAAGTTTTACCGAAATTTTTATGGGCCAAACACTATTTTTAAATAAAGTGAAATAATATTTCGAAAAAATAATAAATACTCCATAAGTATTATTTACTTTTCTGAAATAATATTTATAGACAAACAAAATATATTTTCTGAAAAATATTTGATTTTCTTATTTAATTTTTAGTGTTTGGTTAGTAATAAGAAAATATTGTCTCCATAAGTATTATTATATATAATCTATTCAAATACTATAACACCACCCTTGAACCCCCCAACCTTTAAAATGAACCTTGACCCCACCTTTAACACGGACCAAGACCCCTATCTCAACACATATCTTGACCACGATTTAGGTCCCAACCCCTAACCTTGATATCGCCCTCGATTTATAACTTAACCCAGACTCGACTCCAGCCAAAATAAGGTCCAACGGTGACTTGGGACCTAATCTCAACCCTTATCTTAAACAGAGATCGAAGATCCAATCCCAACCCAGGACTGGACCTTGATCTCGAGTCAGGGTCGGGTCTCGAATTGAGGTTAGGGTCCAGTCTTGGATCAAAATTGGAGCGAGTCTTGGATCGAAATTGGGGCAGGTCTCAGATCGAAATTGGGCATGAGAGTCATGAAGTTAGATCCCAAGTCAAGGTCAAAAGTTGGGGCTCAGGGTTGAGGTTGAGGTTAAGGTTGGGAGTCAGGTATTGAGTGAGGGTCGGGATTGAAAGTCGGTTCCAAATGGGGTAAGTGGTGAGGTTGAAAGTTAGTAGCGCAAAATATTTCTTTTACTTGTGCGTAGAAAAATTATCTTTTCTTGAAAAAATATTTTTTTAAACATTTAAGCCAATTAAAAATATCAAAAAATTGAAAAATATTTTATAGAAAATGTTAACCTTGGTGCCAAACACACCTGCGCGCGCAGAACTTCACAGTTATAAAGCTCGGATTTACCAATTTTCAAACAACGTGAACCTGCACAGGGAAGAGAAAATGGAGGGAAAGCGTTCAAACACTCAGCCACTAACACTCATAAGGAAAATCAAAGGTAGATAGCGCTTCCATTAAACTTCAATTGTTTTCTGAAAATTCATTGCGATTCTCGCGTTCAATACATATATACTTTGATTTTGTTTTGCAGGATTTACTCGTTCCATTGTTGAGGATCTCGCTCGAGGTAGGGCACCGTTGATCTACATCGATCGGTTCAGAAATTACTGTACTAACACTTCTGGAAATTGGTAAGAAGCAGCGGTAGCTTGAATATATGAAATTATCAATCATAGTTGAGCTTAGTGGATTGGTTTTTGCTGCTGTTTGAAATTTCATTGCAATTAGTGTTTTGGAATAATACGAAAACTAACACTGGATTAAACTGTCGATTTTCTATAAATAATAAATGAAACTACACTGATCGGTTCAGAATTTACTGTACTGAGCGAAGTGTTTCCCATTATCTGTTCCATTCTGCTAATTGGAAGATCTGGTTGAAAACAGTGAATGTGTGTTGCAGTTTGAAATTTCATTGCAATTAGTGTTTTAAAATTCCAACTCGAAAACTAATACTGAATTAAACTGTTGATTTCCTATGAATTAATAAAACACTACCTCGATTGGTTCAGAAATTTCTCTACTGACACTTTCGGAAATTAGTAAGACGCCTATGTGTGTGAGGATTTTATTTGGTAGCTTGAGTATATGATTATCAATTCAAGTTAAGCTTAGAAATGTTTTTTTTTTCTTTTCCTTCTTTTCGAAGATCTAGTTGAAAACAATGAATGTGCTGCAGTCTGAAATGTCATTGCAATCAGTATTTTAGAATTCTAACACGAAAAATTACACTGAATTACTGTTGATTTCCTATCAATAAACACAATGATGTTTTGTTCCTTTTTATATTACAAGGCCTCCAAAGAGATTATCCTTGACGTAATTGAACTGAAAATTGCAACTGATGAAGATTCACATAGGTTTAAAACGGTGCTTTAAGAATGTTGCTAGCACTGGGCTTGGTAGATTATTCTGTGGAATTCCAGATGGTATGCTCCTGCTCCCCCTCAACACAACCCCTTCCAAAAAGTAAAATGTAGAGAAGAAACGAATGGCTATTTTAAGTGCCCTGCTCAGAAGAAGAATGAGCACAGTCTATACTGAGAGATTTGTTCATAGAAGCCATTGCCTATACTGAGACACTAATAAGTACTAGTGGTAATTGTTATGTTGAACGGAGTTATAAAAACAATGAAATTTACTGAAGTTGGAGTTTGAATGGCTAATAAAGACCATCCAAATGTCGTGGTAGTATTAATGGTCTTTGTTTAATTTATGTAGCTCTTGCAGCTCTGGTTTGTCGACTGGCAAGGAAGCTATATCCCTGAAGAGGGAATGCCATGCACGTAGGCTTGGTGAGTCTAGGGAGAGTAAATAATACTTGCATATTTTATCTGCTGATCTTCATCACATAGTTGGACAAGAAATGATATGATAGTGAAGAGGGTAG